TTATCCTAATCGGATTTTGAAGTGGCATACCTCTAAATGTTTCTGGCGCAATTCTCTAAACATCTGCATTCAAATTTAAAAATTTATTTTTTTTAATTATTTTTGTCATTTTTCTGATGTATGATGTTGAAGAAATTAAAAATAATGAAGAAATGCCCCAAGGCTGAAGTTCTAAGCTCCATAACTCAACTTATTCTAATCGGATTTTGAAGTGGCATACCTCTAAATGTTTCTGGCGCAATTCTCTAAACATCTGCATTCAAATTTAAAAATTTATTTTTTTTAATTATTTTTGTCATTTTTCTGATGTATGATGTTGAAGAAATTAAAAATAATGAAGAAATGCCCCAAGGCTGAAGTTCTAAGCTCCATAACTCAACTTATCCTAATCGGATTTTGAAGTGGCATACCTCTAAATGTTTCTGGCGCAATTCTCTAAACATCTGCATTCAAATTTAAAAATTTATTTTTTTTAATTATTTTTGTCATTTTTCTGATGTATGATGTTGAAGAAATTAAAAATAATGAAGAAATGCCCCAAGGCTGAAGTTCTAAGCTCCATAACTCAACTTATCCTAATCGGATTTTGAAGTGGCATACCTCTAAATGTTTCTGGCGCAATTCTCTAAACATCTGCATTCAAATTTAAAAATTTATTTTTTTTAATTATTTTTGTCATTTTTCTGATGTATGATGTTGAAGAAATTCAAAAAAATGAAGAAATGCCCCAAGGCTGAAGTTCTAAACTCCATAACTCAACTTATTCTAATCGGATTTTGAAGTGGCATACCTCTAAATGTTTCTGGCGCAATTCTCTAAACATCTGCATTCAAATTAAAAAATTTTTTTTTTATTTTTTTTTTTTGCACTTTCACTACAAGTGGTATGTGATAGTCGGGGAAATAGACTATAGCATTCTATCTTGTTTTTGTTTTGATTTGCATATTCCACATATTAATATATGTATATCCATGTCATATTAATTATGTAACCATATGTGCTTTGTATTTCAATACAGTGATATACTTTCATCACTTTCACTTTCATATACTTTCACCTTTTCGTCAAAAGAATACAAAAAATATACGTAATCAAACATATTATCTAAAACTTTTCAGTTCATACATTACAATTTGAAAATAACGTACTTTCGCGCGAATCGCCTCTTTTGTCGAGTTGCCATATCGATTTCTAAAACATTTTGGATGTTGCCAGTTTAACTCTTAAACAAGTCGGGAGCTATGCACCCTATTTCTACACGAGTTGCCACCCTGAATTCTACCAATTTTATATCGATTGCCTGACTTATCGTTAGTGCCATCGCTGTACTTCCAGCTCTAGATTTCAAGGTAAATATAAACCCCAATTAAAAGTAATATTTTACTGCAGTTTTCTGCATTTGGGTGGTAAATCGTGTTATTAAGATACACCGGTAAGTTCAGGGGAATGATAAACCCAAAAAGGGTTAGGCTCCCTGTCGTGTGCGAAATCCGTTGTTTTTTCGTCCACAAACTAATGCGTCATCGCCAAACAGACAACTATGTGCAATATTTTGTTGTGGTTCGTTGTAATTGTTTAGCCGGCACTTAATTCTGGGTTGTGTGTGTGCGCGTTGGCGTTTGGATCGAATGTTTTTCGCAATGTTTGATTAGAAAGTCGGCGGCGGCAGTGGAAGAAGAAGAAAAGGAGAGCAACAGTGGCAGCAGCAAAGAAACCGATTTCACATTCTCTCTCTCCCTCTCTCTCTTTTGTTTCACCACCAGCCACCCAACATGCATCAGAATACCCTGTAAAATTGAGGGTTTGCTGGAAGAATTCAAGGTTTTGTCTTCCATTTTGAACCTTACCAATTTCTAGATGACTTTTTGTGACATTCCGTCACAGAAATAATTGATTTATTCATCTATATTTGTAAACTTCGAAACAATGGCGGAGTTGTAACAAAAATGCGAATTTATACGTTTTCATATAGAAGATTTTACAATTTAGTACACTTTACTGCTTACGGTCCCGGATATTTTTAAGGATCCAAAGGATACTTATTTTAGACAAGTGTACTTCTAACGCACATACAGGGCATCCCATAGCAATTACAGTCCTATGACCAGCTCTATGAATCCTATTTCATGACCTTTTGCAATTTCAGGCGATTAAAACCGTCATGGACTTCGCTAGCGTACTCGGTAAAAGCGAGGCGCATCAGCGCACCATTATCCACCTGGACATGGACTACTTCTACGCTCAGGTGGAGGAGATTCGGGATCCAACGCTGCGGTCGAAGGCTCTGGGGATTCAGCAGAAGAACATCGTGGTCACCTGCAACTATGTGGCGCGGGCCAAAGGAGTGGCGAAATTGATGCTCATTGCAGAGGCACAGCGCATTTGTCCCGATTTGGTTCTGGTCAATGGAGAGGACCTCACCCCCTATCGGCAGATGTCGCAAAGAATATTTGACCTTCTGCTTAACTACACTCCCCTGGTGGAGAAGCTCGGTTTCGATGAGAACTATATGGATGTGACTGCGCTGGTAGAACTGCGACAGGCTCACGTAGCTGAGGCCCAGTTGAAACCGCCGGTGGGTCACACGTATCCGGCGGATGGCACTCCCTTATCAAATTGCGATTGCGGCTGTGCCCAGCGGTTGGCCATCGGTACTCGGGTCGCCCAGGAAATCAGGGAGGAACTCAAGCTCCGGCTGGGGATTACCTGCTGCGCTGGAATCGCCTATAACAAGCTGCTGGCCAAGCTAGTCGGCAGTAGTCATAAACCTAATCAGCAGACCGTTCTTGTTTCCACCTATGCAGAGCAGTTTATGCGGGAACTTGGCGACCTAAAGCGAATCACTGGGATTGGTCAGAAGACGCAGTGCCTTCTCCTGGAAGCGGGTATGTCATCCGTTGAGCAGCTGCAGCAGTGCGACATGGACATAATGCGGAAGAAATTCGGATTTGAAACTGCCACCCGACTGCGGGATCTGGCCTTTGGTCGTGATACGAGCTCAGTCCGTCCCACCGGAAAACCCAAGACCATTGGAATGGAAGATGCCTGTAAGCCAATATCCGTACGAACCGATGTTGAGGAAAGGTTTCGCATGCTGCTCAAGCGGCTCGTGGAGCAAGTAAGTTAAACGTCATTTATAAGTAAGTTCGGTAACACCAAACTAACGAAAATATTTTAATTACCAAGGTTGCAGAGGATGGAAGAGTACCTATTGCCATCAAGGTGGTGCTGCGCAAATTCGATTCCCAGAAGAAGAGCAGCCACCGTGAAACCAAACAAGCCAACATTCTACCCTCCCTTTTTAAAACCTCCATGTGTCCAGGAGAAACTGGAGTAAGCAAGGTACAACTGGCCGATGGAGCCCAGGAGAAACTCCTCAAGATTGTGATGCGACTTTTTGAGCGAATAGTTGATATGAGCAAGCCCTTCAACATAACTCTACTGGGTCTGGCATTCTCCAAGTTCCAGGAGCGCAAGGTTGGCTCGTCATCAATTGCTAATTTTCTGATTAAGAAGGCGGATCTTGAGGTACAGTCTATCACCTCACTGACAAATACGAGTCTCACAAGTCCCACAGCGGAGAGTCCCACATCAGATGAATGCGCCTTCCGCTCCTCGCCAACAACATTCAAACCAAGCGATCAGTTTTATAGGAGAAGAGCCACTACTGCATCGCCAGTGCCCATGCTCCTTGATAACGGTTCCGAATCAGCGGCCACCAATTCGGATTTCAGCGACTTCTCTGAGACTGAGGTGGAACCCTCGCCGAAAAAGAGTCGCATTGGCCGATTGCTAGTATCTAAGCGCAGTCGGTTGGCAGCAGATGTGGGAGATTCCGCCGCCGAAGTAGCTTCGCCCAGCAAACTGCGCGTCTGTGATCTGCGTTTAAACTCGCGGGATAGCGAGAAGGACTTCCCCATGAGCACCACGCCGTCTACCTCTACGTCCGCGCCTGCGCCTCGCTTCCGCACCGTCCAACCACCAAACACGTTGCTGCAAAGGATCGACGGCAGTCTACGCTTTGTTACAACACGCACTGCCAGTCGCTTGAGTTCGAATGCAAGTTCTACGACCTCCTCGCCGCTTCCATCTCCCATGGACGATTCCATGGCAATGAGCGCACCCAGCACACCAACCATGTCGTTTCCCTCGCCCACCACGACAGCGGTGGTTACCAATACTAGTAGTACGGCCACGTGTGATGCCCTTACGCATATAGCTTGTCCAGCGGGTGTGGATACCGAAGTGTTCAAAGAGCTACCCGTGGAGCTGCAGACCGAGTTAATCGCATCGTGGCGCAGCTCCCTGGTGGCGGCTGTGGAGCAAACGAATGGGACCGGTGCCACTACAAGCGCAGCGATTGCCAGTGGAGCCCCAGCAACTGCTACTACCGCTAGCGGCCAGAAGAACACTTTGTATCGCTACTTTCTTCGGAATAAGTGATGCAGTGCAGCCCAGCATCACGTCGTTAATCGTTATAAGTGTAAAGAGAATAAATTTGTTTAAATATATGATATATTTTTGTAGGTATACGGTTACAGATTGCAAAGCTTTAGGGCGCTGCTTTGGACAAATTTAAGTTAGGATGCATAACTAAAGTGGTAGATTTCTAGAACTGAATAAGTAAATTGTTTATCAAGGATAATCATTAGAAAACCGTTTACTCCTTAAAAATTGTTTTAATCTTCACAAATGTATAAAACATTCCAAATGTGGTAACATTTTAAATATTAATATTTATTATTCCAGCATTGTTTTCCATTCCTCAGTAATATTAATTATTCGCTGGCAAGTCTAATACAGTGAATATTAAAAGAGTTCTTACGTTCAGTTTCTTGCCTAGAAAACTATCTAAATATGAATACTCAGCGCGGTAGTACCGCTTTCAGAGGCTTACACAATAGCTATTTGCACAAAACCTTACTTCATACACATCCTAGCGGCGTTCAGTCCAAAGCGGTTTTCCTGGCAGCTGTGAGATTCGAGAAACAATTCACGTCCTCGTTGCACATTCACTATTACATTTATTACTTCATTTACAATTCATATCATACATATTCAATTGGTTGGGTCACCTACTTAAGCTTAGTAAATACAGAATATCTGAATCCCGACTTCTCACTCAAAGGAACAAAACTTTATGTAATTGAGCTTGACTTGATACAAGTAAATTGATTTTCAGTTTTTTTAGTTTTAACCTCGATGAAAATGGCAACGATAGTTGAACAGTATAAAAATGTCTTTAACCTATTCTAACTAATAAAATAAAGTGAAGTCCTTATAAATGCGTGTAGATCTTATTCGAAGGGGCGCGGGAAGTTGAAAGATGTGTTCAGTGGCTCAGCCAGCCGCACTTGATAAAGAACTTGCGCAGCGAAGTCTCCATAGGACTGCCCAGCGATGGTGCTCCGCTCAAGCAGACAGTCTTAACCGAGAGGTAGGTGGTGGGCGTAATATTATGCTTCTTGCACAGATCAAGCTCGTTGTGACTGAGCAGTTCACTGCCCAGCGGCTGGGGCAGATGCTTCAGTTCCTTCAGCTGGGTGCGCAATCTTAGGCTCATGCTGGGCACCTGCTCACTGCCTCCGCCGACGGCCTCGTTTGGCATTTTGTGCTGGTTGCCGCTTTGCAGAAGCTGATGATGCTGCTGCAGCGGCTGCAGATGTTGTTGGCTTCCCTTCGCCGAGTTCGTGGGCAGATTCGCCATCGTCGTAGCCGTGGAAGTCACTCCCGTCGTCGCTCCCGAGTCCACTGTTATCCCCATTCCCGTTCCCATTCCCGTCGTCTGCAGCATCGTAGCTGCCGACGATCCCCGACAGCTATCCAAGTAGTTTTTGCTGGGCAATAATGCGCCGGAGCAGGTCGGGTCGACGATGTGGAGCGTGTTTCTTGGTGCGATTGAATTTGAACTTACCTCGGCGCCGCTTGACATTTCGCTAAACAAACGAAACAAATTATTATTTAAGTTCTAAATGAAGCTTTTTGACAGAATACTTACACCTTTCTGAGATTCGGTTGTGGGGAGTGCAAGGAAGAGCTTGGCGGCCGATGACTTCCATTGGATGGTTGCGTGTGGTCCTGTGGTTAAACATTGTCTTATAGAACCATTCGAACGCTCGTTGTTTGGCGCGTTTATTATGCAGTGGAGCTGAATATCGTGAGACAAGACGGAAAAGCGATTGTAAGAGTTGGGTCAGGTCAGATTGGGACGGTTAAAGCAAGGCAGAACACACGATATTCAACTCGTCATGCATTCTCAGTGGGAAAAGCTTACTCCAAGGGAATTGAAATCGAATCTAACCAGTCTAAACTCTGTTTTTAGTAGCTCACATTCATTTACATATCTTTTGTTGCTTATAAAATTATAAAGCTAAAACCCCAGCATGGGTTTTAAATTTTTTGAAACGATAGATCAAAAATTAAATATATTTTGAATTTTAATTAAAAAACAGAGTGGTAGTTCTGTTTTTCGAGTACCAATCAAATATTTATGTTTGGATAGTTCGATTTCGGCACCCCTGTTGTGGAGCCTTACACTTACGGTCTTCCCGTGGCCATAAGGTCCAGCAGTTCGGTGCGTCGCTGTTGCGGCATGCTGCTCAAAGTGGGTGCATTCCGCAATTTTGGTCAGGCCATTATACCGGTATCGGTACAGCTCTGACTGTCGAATTCGCAGTTCCTTTTCACGCTCCAGTGATCCCAACAGCCGCTCATACTCGTTACAAGTGTAGAACTGGGCGTAGACACGAAATCTATCCCGGAACTCGCGCTGCTCCTTGGTGAGACCTTGTTGCAGAGCATAATTTCTGTTGCGGAAGAAATTTGATACCAACTGATAGTCCCTGACCATCCGTTTCCTGCGAGCTCGCTCCCTGAGTCGGCGGGTGTAGATGTCCACGTGGGCTAGCTTAAGCATCACATCCACCTCCGTATCCTCGGAGCTTAACGAGATGTTAGAGATCAGTTGCTCTGCCGTGGGATCGTACTCCCGTTCAAAGCTGTCCCTGTTGGGCATGTAGCCCAGCTGCATGGCCTCATCGGAGTTGATATCCAAGGGAGGCAAGGTGGACAATGCATTGGTGCCCAGAGGACCAGCGTCGTCGTCTCCTGTGTGATCTATAAGGCGGGGTCTCTGGCTCTGGGCCGGCGTCCAAGTGGCCCTCCCAATAGTGCCATTTACGAACTTATTCACATACTCCTCCTTGGCGTCCTCCGCCGACTTTGTTTCGATGTGCTTGCTGATGTCCTCCCAGTTTCCGAAGCCGTACTGTTCAATGGCATCCAACAGGCGGATCTCCTCTCGTGCCGTCCACGCCCCCTTCCCCCGAAATACACTCAATATGGAGGTGCCAGTGTCCATGAACTGGTACGCATGGTTATTTAGATGGGCTCCGATCTCCGCACCTGCGGCAAAGCACTGCGCAAAAAGGTAAACAATAGTACAACATAAATACAGAGTCAGCTGTTTTTTAATCAACATGGTGAAATTGCCGGTTGTGTGTGTGTATTTGTATTTGTATGCCTAGATGAGTCAGTTTTTTGGTTCCAAATATGCAACGCATCTCTAGATTGTGCGAGTTGGGTGCAACAGGGTGGGTCGATTATATTGAAAAAGAAAAATCGAGGTGAAAATAGAACCTCAAACATTTGCCAATTTGGTGATCAAACTGTAGTACACATTTTCATCAACCCTCGTAAAATACCTTGAAATATACTATATATTCAGAAGAGCAAGACCAGTTTCTATATTTTGTATATTCATTTTTTGCAATTTTGTTTATTTTCTTACTACTTTAAAGTTCATTTGGAATCTTTAACATATTTCATATTGCATTTATTATAATGACGCAACATATTTTAAAACCACGTAGATTCAAACATTTGTTTTGATTTTTAAAAATCCACATACAAGTTTCTAGAACCTCAAATAAAAACGACCCACCCTACTACACACATTTATACGTGAGTCGCTCGACGGCGTGTATGTGTGAGTTACTTACTTGCAGACATAAATCGAAGCTTTCGCACTCCGCGCAGTGCACTCGAATGCCCTGAATATCATCCTGGCAATTTGTGCAATTATACTTTGTGAATAAATCCGCAATCGTGGTCATTTTAGGCCAAAACGTGGATTTTCACAATTATGAGCTGTGCGAAAAAAACTTATGCCAGCAATGTGACCAGACGCGAAGACAACGCCATATTGCTCGACTTGGAATTCGTATATACAACAACTGCCAACGAACCAGTTCTTCAGAACAGTGCCGCCTATATAGCGTTTTTAAGCAATTTCTAGCTATTTTTCAAAATAGTGTGTAATCCTGTTATTTTCAGATAAAACGCAAAACAAAAAAGGAAAATCCAACCTACTTAATTGTAGTTAGAAATCGAATCATTAAAATATACATCATTAAACACACGCAACTTTGAGCATCATACATATTTAAAACTCCATTGATTATGCATTAAATATTGATAGTAGTTTATTTAATAATTTCAAAAGTTTAATTCGAGTGTTTTGCCTTTTTTAAAGTTGATTTTTACGTTAATATCACAAAAATAATATATAAAACTAAAATATAAGATGTGAATATCAAACCAAAACCAGGTTAACATAAATACAAATATTTGATTGTTAAATTAAAATAATAAATACTAGACTTACAAGAAATTATTAAATGTTGTTATATCTTTTGTATCAAACAAAAAGGGTAAATTAAAATTAAAATTGCCGGAAAATATTTCGTGTGCTTACATCTAACATGAATAGGGTGTGGGACTGCCGTGATATTGTAGGTTACAATCATTACAATTATTGGGAAGGATTTGGGGTAGGCTACGCTGTATAAATAGTTGATTATTCGATTAGTTCATACATTTGTATATGCTGAATATTGTTAGTATTGCTGTCTTACACCGAGCAGTAGCCGAATTGTTATGGGTTCCAGATATCTCAGTGGGCGGTGAGGACTAGTTTGTGTTGCATGTGACTTTGGTGGCATTGTTGCTAGTTTACTCTTGCTAGTTAGCTTGGACCAGAGAAAAACAAAACGAGTTACACGATACAAAATGGGTTAACAAATCCTAAACAGATATGGCAAGTTTCTTGTGCAGCTGCGTTTCCAATACACGCACACGGCCAACAAAATTCATCAATTCGAGTACTTAAAAACGACTAAATAAGCCTATTTGAGCGCCAAATTCGGTTTTGGTGTCGCACCTGCGTCTGATCCTAGGGATTAAAGTAGGTTTAACAATACTGTTCGAGGACATTCAAGAGTTTGAGATTCACGATTTTCACAGATACGGTTCGATTTGAATTCGCTTGCGTAAGGAACTAAGGAAAAGTCACAGCGCAGGCGCGACCCCTGTCGTCATAATTCACGACTGGCAACGGAAACAGATCCATGTCCAGATCCGTCTGAACCGCCTGCTCCCGGCAATAAGACTCATAAGCAGGCGCCCGCGGAGAATGGGCTCTTGAAATTTGCATAAGCGAGTAGTCCTAAAGCATAACTATCAACTAATTTGGTATGTAAAGTCTTTGTGTCTTTTTCTTGGGCATTAGCGCGATGAGGGCTCGAGGTCCAGTGGCAATGGCCAACTAGCAACAGTATGACCAGCATGCCGGCCGATGCCACAAACTCTGCACCATACTCACTCGGATATGGGAACCGATTCGCTGAGCTCGGTGTCTCGTCTTTGTCTCTAAACTCTCGCTGCTCATCGTCATCGTCTTGGGAAGCATCTAAAGATTGGCTAAGCTTGGCGGGGATCACTGGTATGGTGAAGCTGGAATAAGTGCTGACATGGCTCAGCCCAACAATATGCATCTGATTGCATACACTGTGCTCGATTTGAGGATGCCTGTTGTTGTTGGTGTCGTTGGATCTGCAGCTACCGCTACTGGCGAAGATCGTTCTCGTGGGTGCGGATAAGTTACTGGGGTGTGGATTAATTTGCTTCTTGATAAAATACTTGAAGAGGGGTTTGTTCCTCTTTAGTTACGGTTGAATCTGCTTCTTGGGTTTTTTTAACTCAGCATCTTCGTCACGCTTAATCTCGGTGTACCGCTCGCCCTTAAGCGAAACGATTTTATTATCCCGGTAGCGAACCAGCTTGCGAGGCTCCATCTTCGGTACCACCGGCTTGTACTCGCGCTGGGTGGCATTCTTGTCAACATAGGAGTACCTAGATGGGGCAAATAAAAAAACTATTAAATATTTGTAAACTAAAGATATAAAAATTCTGAAAAATTGCATATTTGAGGTTAAATTACATGCTTTTATATATTGCTGCGCTGATTTGCTTTTTAAAATGTACACTTACCTAGCGATAATACGGTTCTTGAGTTCATTATCGTCGACGACTACATTCTTTTTAATGTAAGTAGTATGCGACTTGTCAGTAATACATTGGTTGGTCTCTTGACGATGCAAGAGTATCTGGGTGGCGCTATCGATGTCGCCCTTCGAAATTGCGATGCAGTGCTTGATCTGAGAAAGGATTTAAATTCATTATACAGTATTAATAAAAACCTTACATTTGACTTTAAGCTAATACTTACCTCGGCAATTGCCGAATCAGGAAACATTTCCTGGAGCACTTCGGTCTCGTCCAGAAAGTAGTCGCAAGTGGAGCTTGAGCTGTCGGTAGAGCCTCCATCGCTAGTCTCCGAAAGATGTTGGGAACGCTTGTTGCCGCCACAGCCGCCACTGCTGCTGCTGTTCGAGGAGAGCTCGTCCTTTTCGGAAGTGGACGAGTTGCGAGCACGCAGCTTGGACTCCGGAATAATGCTGGAGAGGCTCAGGGAGCTGCAGATATAGTAAATAATAAATGTAAAAACTTCTGGCGAAAGAATGCGGCTGAAAACGTACTTTAGCGATAAGTTTACGGCATCTGGGTTTTCCTGGTTCTTTTCCATATCAGTAAGCTCATTGGCTAGCTTGTAGATCCAGTCACAGATGATGCCCTGGTCAATGGTGGAAAACTCCTCGAAGTAAGCTCCCATCATCTCCACAAAGCCCTCAACATCGAAGCACGGGTCCTGGGAGGCCTCCTCCAAAATCGAAATAATGTACGAAAGCACGATTTCGTCTACAACACTGAAGTCGGCCCCTGGAATGTGACCGCTGATAAACTGCACCATGCTGCGCTTCACCATCTCATGCTGCTTCTCCAGATTGGTCATAATGGCTATATAGTTTAAACGGACTTCTCGAAGTTTCTCTTGCTGGATCTTCGGTTTTCAAACAGCTCTCTCTCACAGCTCGTTATTTAAAATGCTGAAACTCACTCGATGGAGACTACCCCAGATCTTACAGCATGTCTTCTGAGAGTCTGTTTAAAGAATTTCAATTTAGTTGTAATGCAAATTTCGTTTTGAACAGATTTGATTCTGCGAGCTGCGCCTTTCTTTTGCTTCTTCCTGCTGCAATCAATAATACTCCGATACACATGCAGCTCCTATCGATTGAGATAGAAGTAACAGAAGTATATCGATATGTGGCATTCAAAATAGTTGAGTTTTCTTTAATGCGGTAATAATTATACTACAATATATTACAACTGCTTATACTTGGCGGCTATTCACGTATACCCTTTAAATATTTAGAAATGCATAATTAGTAGAATTCCTGCTAACCGATGTCTTTTAAAGGGGGCATCTCTAATGAGAAAATTAAAAACGAAAGTCACGCAACGCAGAAAACAAAGGCCTATCGATAGACGTACACCCACAACCCCAATTCCAGCCGGCAAATTCCGGAACGTAGTCTCTGATCAAAACGTCTATAGAGGTGAGTTTTTTTTTACCTCTAATTCGCAGCTTCCATACCGATCCGTATCTTTGCAGAAAAGTTGCCAACCCGATGGACAAGCGCGTCACAGTCCTGCTGCCCAATGGTCGGCGGCAGAATGTAAATGTGACGGCGAACATGACGCTGCTGGAGATAATGGAGACGGCCTGCTCCAAGCACGGCTACGATGCGGAGGAGCACTGCCTTAAGTTCCACAACAAGGTGGTCGGATTAACGCAGCAGTTCCGTTTCAGTGGCTTGCCTAACAACTGTGTCCTTGAGATGGAGCAAACAGAAAAGCGACGCACACTGAGTAACGTTCTTGTCTGCGTCCAGCTGAACGACGGATCTCGCCAACAAGCAGACTTCTCGCCCAACGACACCATTTGGCTGGTGGTCCAGAAGCTCAGCGGGTCGCATGTCAATGGTTACGAAAGCCCCGTCATCGTCTACATGCGCAGCGAGGTTATAGGACAAGAGCAGATGCGCCAGACCACTCTGAAGTCCCTAGGGATCCTCGAGGGTCGCGCCATGATGCGTCTTATCGACAAAAAACCGGAGGACCTTAAGAACCAGGCAAATGTGTACAAAGCTCCCACTGCCAAGCCTCGGGTGGACAATGACGACCAGCCCAGCACCTCCCGCTCTGCAATGGCAGCTGGTGGCAGCGGAGGCGGCGGTGGATTTGCCCTTACCAGCAACATGATTAAGAATTTGAAACGCACGGCTCCCGAAGAAAATGCAAGCGGGAGTGAACCAGCCAAGCCCTCAGGTGAATCCAAACAGGAGCAGCAGCCTCAGCCAGAAGCACCTAAATACGACTGGGGTAGTGGTTCTGGATACTCCATGCACAGCCCCCCGGAGCGAAATCAGGATAAAAACGAAGTCGAAGAGATTCCAGGCAGGGCTCCCCCAGTTGTGAGAGTAATTGGACCACGCCAGGCTGTACTGTTCTCCTTGGATGAATCTAAGAAAAATGCGGATGACCTGCCCGACTCATTTTTCGACTTGACCGTCAACGATTTAAAGATGGTGCTCCGCGACTTAAAGCGAACTTCGAGCGGAGATGACGACGCTCCCTTGCTGACAGCAAAGCTGAGGGAGCTGGAGCGCCAAAAGACCATGCTGGCTAAGCTTAACCAGTACAAGGACTGTGTGCTGCGCATTCAGTTTCCCGATCGCTTTGTGCTGCAGGGCATCTTTAAGCCACACGAGCCCCTTTCCAAGGTAGAGGAGTTTGTTCGGGAGTTTTTGGTCCAGCCAGGCGACCAATTCCATCTCTTCACCATTCCACCGAAGAAGGTGTTGCCCTCCGATGAGACGCTCCTGGAGCTGAATTTTGTCCCGAATGCCATCGTGCATTTTGGGTTTCTCAAGGACTCGCTCAATGCGGCGAGCAATCGATTTGTGAAGGAGCAGTATATGGATCAGTTGACCTCCGAGGAGGGAGCTCATTATGCGGTGCAAAAATACCGCCTTACCCGTGCGACGGCGGCGGGGTCTAGTTAATAGATACATGGCTTTAAGCGAACAGTCTGCGTGATAATTAATGAATCCGCTTTATTTCTATATATATTTTTATTTAAAAAAATGAATACGTCAAATACGGATTGTCGTTCTTTTCTTTAAAACACGAACTATTTAAAAGTTTTTAACTTTAAACATTTGCATCACTGCGACAGGGAGTAGAAAACATTTGCGGCAGCTCGTTTAACATCTTGATGAGCAATGTATGTTTTTCACATACAATTTTAAGTTACTCTTAACATATTTAGACTCAGCTATCATAATACTCATGACTCCAGGACTGTGAAAAATATGCCAGCAGACCGCCGATTCTTAGCTTTTTCATCTGGTTTTAGGTTATAAAAATATATAAGGCTATCAATAATAGGACAAGCGTATTCCTAGTCCAACAATATCGCACTTTCTCAACTCATGAGCCTTATTAATGTGAACTAAAAGAAAGGAATGTTTTTAACAAGCTCATCCTCAACCAGTAAATGAAACAAGCGCCTAATAACAACACAAATCGAATAAACCTGCAACTTAGCATTGCTGTTTGAAAACATATAGACACATAACTAGGACTGGTCAAATAGTTAATATGGTTGCTTATGGTGTAACTCATTTAGTCAAGCTTCATTTGGAGCACAGAAAGAAACCAGGAACTAAACCCACTTACTATGCGAATCTGTTAAGTTTAGTTTAATAACCCAAGTTTAATAAAATTTAAAATAAAGCTACCTTTTTCTTATGGTGTCCTTTTGCTAATAGGTATTTCTGAGTGCGTAGAGAGAAAGAGCATTGCTAATGATATTAGACCGCAACAAATTACCTATTGTCAATTGTACCATGTTCTAAATTCACCATTTGCTAATACGTCCCAAAAGTGAAATGTACAGCTTTAAAAACTTAACGTTTATTGGCGTGTTAAGCGTTTGTATAATTTGCTGCCATGGTTTTACCAAATCGATTCCAAAGAAATCCTATGCTGCCTCATCGATAGACTTGATGAACCTGTTGGAGGTTGAGGATGAACTGGTGGACAATTTAAAAGGCTATGTGGAAACACTGAAAATAAAATTAAATTTAATGGAAAGGTGGAAATAAGCCCAGTTTCTCCTTGAAGAATTACATATCCACGTATTTCTTACAGATCCCTAATTGATATGAGTATAGAGCACAACGAAATGAAGAGTGACTACGAATCGTACTTGGGAAATCCATTGAACAGCTTTCGACTAATACATCGCCTACACAAGAGTTGGAGGAAATGGTATCACTATGCTTTTAGGACCGAAAATAATGCATTAGGTACTGCCAATATCTTTCCAAGTTAAAGAGTTTGCTTTAAATTATGGTTCGTAGTGCGTATCGAGAATGCCCGTCTTATGAGAAAGATGCTACCCACCTCGTTGGACCTGGAAAACGCGTGTCGCGGAATCGATGACTTGATGTCCTTTTACGACCTTAAGCCAGAAGAACTAGCAGCTGGTAACTTAGCAGGATACTCGCAGCCAGAGTAAGTTGGGATAAGTATATTGAAATATATAAATAACATCATGATTACTGACTTCCAGTACAGGACTGACAGCTTACGATTGCTTAGCCCTCGGGGAGTTCAGCGTCCAAAATCGAAAGGATGATCTTGCCGAGGCTTGGTTTAACCTCTCTTTGACTCGTTTTGAAAATATAATCGACAAATACCGAGTGCACAAATCGTGGGCACTTTTGTTAATGAAGACAAACCAGCTAACTGCAGCCTTTCACCACTTAGAAAACAAGCCAGAGGAAATATTTCCCAGCCATGAAGTCATACACTTCGAGGAGGAGTTGGCGACCGTGCAGAACTGCACTGCTGTGGTCCAAAAACCAAGCCGACTCCACTGTCGCTACAACAGCTCCACGACGCCCTTCACGCGGATTGCCCCTCTAAAAATGGAGGAGCTAAGTTCGGATCCGTACATGGTGGTCTACCACGATGTGATTTACGACAGCGAAATTGATTTGATGCTAAACGCAAGTAATTTCTCATTATCCCTGACTAATTCGGGTCAGAAGTCAGAGGTGAGAGCTTCGAAGGACTCATATATAGTGGATTCTAAAACGCTCAATGATCGGGTAACCGATATGACCGGACTGAGTATGGAGATGAGCGATCCATTTTCGATGATTAATTACGGCATAGGTGGGCACTACATGTTGCACTATGACTATCATGAATATTCGAATATGGTATGATTTTTGCAAACTTTTACAATTATGTTGGGGAAGTATTATTATCATATATTTTCAGACCAGGGAAAAGTATGGGGATCGTATAGCCACTGTTTTGTTTTACGTAAGTCACTGCCACTCAACTTTGTCACAGACTCCTTGGTATTACCTTGAAGCCTTTTCAGCTGGGAGAAGTTCACTCGGGTGGCGCCACAATCTTCCCGAGGATTAATATTACCGTTACGCCCAAGAAAGGATCAGCGGTCTTCTGGTACAATCTGCACAACTCCGGAGCCATGCATTCGGAAACCCTGCACTCAGCGTGTCCAGTGATAAGCGGTTCCAAATACGGTAAGCTTTATGGTGTTATGGTTTTGCATAAAGTACCCTCCGGTTCTTTCTTTATAGTACTCACGAAGTGGATAAACGAGCTGCCTCAAATGTTCTCCACACCATGCATGAAGGACTCGAACTTACACCCACCCAAAAAACAATAATTCTGTAATCTGCACTGAAATCTTTAAGATTAAATGAGTTATCCCTCCGCATGACATCGGGTATATCTTTACAGTTATCCGCCCGTCCAGTGCTGCCAAGTAACTGAGTATATGGAGAGAGCAAAAGAGAGGGCACAAAGATTGTTTGGCGTATCTTCGGCTTACCGCGATTGCAACTTCGATTCGGATTCGGATTGCGCTTATGTTTCAGTTTCCGATTCGGCTTTCAGTCGTTGGCCGTGCGCCAGAGCAACAAGTTATTTTCGCACCTGGCCAGTTGATCGCGATACTCGCAGATTGTAAGTCGCTAACGTTTCGCTTTGGCAACTCAGTCGAAATATTTTGTGTAGCCAAGGCAATATAATCAGACCCGTCTCAATCTATTGGGCTGTGTTAAAAATTACAAAATTAAATCAAGAGGCTAATTCGCGTTAACATTGATTTGGCCAGTGCTAAGTGATTGTGTGTGTGCGTGTAAATTGGTTTTGCGCTAATTTCGGGCGAAATATTAACGCGGCCAAAAGAGCTAACGAAATTAAAGCGTATCGAAAACAACTTTTACCTATGCTGCCAGTTTCAAAACGAGGCAGAACTGTTGTTGTTTTAGTTGTTGCCGTTGAACGTGCGGCCGCAGTGTTGTTGTTATCGCGATGTGTTTGCTTTTGGGGGCGTGGCTGGTAGTTGGCATGTGCGCAGCCGCCTTAAGTTGGCAGTGACAATAGACAAAAAGACAGACAGCCGAGGAAATTATGGAGCGCTGACCAACAAACCAAAACCAAAGCGCTGGCAATTGGAAAGTTGTTGTTATGCTCAAGAGAGCAGCGAAGGAGCCAAGTGCCGGACTGGAATATCGCTGCATGTGTCGCTAAATAAATCACCAGCGTTTCAGTCAAGAAATCATAGCGCTACAAGACGTTTATAATGCCCCTTTTGTAATTAGCTTTTCAGCCAAGTGTAATCAAATGTTGTGACAAATTGTGATATAGTTAGCCTGAAAAGTTAGTTGCATATTGAATAATACTAATCACTCAGATAAATAAAATAGTTTATACCCAAAATAATTTAACTACAACTTTGGGTATTGCATTATCTTACATTATAATTTAACATCAATCAAATTCGTACATATCGATTCAGAATTAAATTGAAAGCTTGCAGAAATAGCAATTGCTTTTTACGAATAGTGTTATAGCTAGAAATGTATGGGATTAAGCTTCAATTTATAAAATGGTTTCCAATATCCTATAATGCCTTCAATTTAAGAAAAATTATATAGTTATGCAGAGTGCCCCCACATTGATCGTGAGACGTAATTGAAAAACAAAAGAACAAATTAATCGGTTTACAATTGACCAGACTAGTATGCAGACATTAGTATGCACTTCGCATGTAATATATTTTACTTATCTAGCAGTTAAAAAACAGATATATATGTTTTTGAGAAGCGGTTCGCAAGTAGGATAGGTTTTACAGCTAGTCGTGAAAATGAAATATTCCAGTACGCCGCTACCTCTGACGCCGCTGCTGCCACCGTTACCGCCTCTGCCGGCGCCTACGCACGCATAGCGCGATTATCGGCGCATCTCAGTCGCGTCATCGCCTCCGTCCGCCCATCTTCACTTTTACCGCCGAAAGAGAGAGTGAGAGTGTTTGCCCCGCTCATTTGCGTTTCTTGTGTCTACCGGTTTTATTTTGGTTTTATATGTTTTCTGTATTTTCGTTCAATTTACGCGCATTTCATTGCTTTCCTCCAGTCGCAATGCTGGTATAATTGATAAAAATAATATAATAAGTTCATTAAATTTAATTAAATCAACTATCCGCTTCCGATCTGCGGCACGAGTCGTGAACACAGCGATAATAAAAGTTTATTGTGTTTTACTCATTTTGCTTTTCCCTCCAACAGTGAGTGTATGAGTGTACGTGGAAAATAGCAAAGAAAAATTACTCGCATCCGACGAAAATAACTAATCATCGCAATTTCCGAAGAAAGAAATTTTCAAGCAAAATTCGACAGAGAAAAAAGTGGCAAAAATGAACTTTTTTGTGATTGGCTTTCTGATCATGCAGGCGGCAAGTGAGTAAAATGCAGTTTTCATTTTTCCCGTTTCCATTTTACTAAATAATTGCTGTTTTTGTTGTTGCTATTGTCGGGACTTAATTGCTTTTCACGGGTGTCGGATAACAATTATTTAATTCGGGTTGGCACCAGGCTGAAATTCAAACGAGGCGACGAACTTTTCTCGAATTCGAGTTCGTGTCTTAAGTCGTAAGACTCAAGACAGCAGTTATATTTTATGGATATGCTGTAATACTAGGCTGCAGATACAAAACAGGTTACCAGTGGTTCTTTTGTAAGCTCTTCAAATTTAGTTGCCGATAATTAGCCAATTGGTCAAACTAACATATAAACATATCAATAAATATTTCACTGTATGGTAGACAATTTGGCGTCAAGATTTGGACATCCATGTAAACTTCAATCAACATAAGTAAATGCAAAAAGTGCGCCATAATAGGCAAAGAGCCATCGTAACAATCTTATCTATACATTTGTTTATGCATATTTAGCCACCGACCCGCTGCTGCAGTTTATTGGCATCGCTTTTTTATGTGAATTCAGTTTCGGTTCATTGTCTGCGCTTCAATCAGTTCGCTTAATGCAAAAACCTTGCCGAGGAAACCGGATTGGTTTTAGGTTAGTCATGGTACCGTGGAGCATTCTTGACCTGAAGTACGGTGCAGCTCATTAAGAACATATAAACATGTATATATGTATGTATGTACATATATTTAGGTTGAAGGTGTCTCCATTTAGGGCACCCATTTATCGACCATTCGCCAATTAATCAATTTCCAAATTGCAAACATAAACTAACCTCGATTAACCTTCGCACTACAATTCAACCTGTTTTATTTGATTGAGTGTAACGATGTTCCAATCTCACCTCAATATGGTTAAGACCGTCTTAGGCCAGAATATCGGTCAAGATCAGAGCAATAGTGGTTTACAAACTGGCTGTTGGTTCAGACAATTTTCGCTGCTCAATTTGCATAAAGTTTATAGTGTGCTTCCTGACCTTTACTTGGCGAAAAGGAAACTATCCATGGGTAGGAGGAACTAATGCATACACACATCGCTTAAATATGTACCGACATTGCCCTGCCCAAATCTTTTGATATTCCATTGATGGCTTCATAAAATTCACTGAGCAATCGTGGACCATGAATCATCAATATATCGCCGATTTGTACCCGAACTTATTGAGATGCGTTGGCCGCAGATGTTTCTCTTTATTGTTTTCTTTTCTTTTCGCTCGTGTTTGGTTCAAACCGAATATCTGTTTTGTGGTCAATGACGCAGCGCTTTGGAGGCATCTTCAGTTGTTTCTAATGCTGTTGCTTTTTCTGTGTTTTTATATAACCCACATTCGGACCGATGTTTGAGAGCTTTATGCAATACTTCTGGCCCGAAACACTTTGCTACGGTGTGAAGACCCTTCCTGGTCAAAACTGACAGCTAATAGCCAATTCGTTAGTGAGTATACGCCCCGTGTGACAAGTAAACATAAAATATTATAAATGTTTTCTGGCAAAATGTACATACTTTCAACGGCAATTAGCCTTTGCCGTTGAATGTTTTTCTTAGCCAAACCTTTGGGCCTCGGAAAGATGCATTGTTGCAACTGCAAAAGTGGCTAAAAGTACTAAAAAATAATAAGTAAAAGAAATTTCTGCATTGTCATACAATTGGTCAATAAGTAAAAGGCTCTTCGAGCTGGTATTTTGCAAAGTGAAAGGCAGACTGGAATCTGTGCACTTACCAAAACATAAATTCTAAAGCACAATTTTTATATTAAATTTTTTAGTGATAAAAAATACCAATTTAAAGTTTCAAGTTTTTTACATGTCGTCATATTAGCTTCAAGCGAATAGCTAGGCAGTGCCTAAATGACTAACATTTTGCTCGCTTACACTGTTCGCTATATATAAGTTGAAAAAAGTAATCATTTTAAGTGCAAGTCAAATATTACCACAAATACCACGTGGGAATAAAATTGTGCAACAAAATTTTAAGAAACACCTAGCAACATGATTTATGATTATTAAATAGTATTTTAATATTTTCTTGATGCATAAATGAGAACAAAAATATATTTAACGGACTTCTTTTGGGCAGTGCACAACAAGACTTCCGTTTGGGGCTATTCCCACACAAGGGACGTGTCCTTTCCCTTTTTCGAGTTCCCCTCTGCAGATTTTGTACGTTTTGTTTGCAATTAGGAATAAATTAAGGCATGATTATCGCCTCTATTGTCTGGGCTCATCTTCACATAATATAAAGAGTGTGTTTCTTGGCCCGTCAAGTGTGTTGTGGCATTATTTCCGAGCACGCAACCCGCTCACGTAAGACCTTCGCCTCTGAGATGCTGCACCGATCTCTGGGCATCCAAAGTCTTGCATTCCATTCCACACCTTTGTGACTAGTCGATTGTTTGGCCCACACGCACACACGCTCAAATTGCAATTTAATTCGATGGCTTAAAGTGTCTTTGTCATAAGTTTTGTCTGTCGGGTCTCTTTTTTCCTCGGCCTATCGCTCACTGTCAAGACCATCATTCAATTAACATAATTAACCGGCAAAGGGGATTAGCAAGCTGTGTTTTGGGACTGACACTTTGTCGACGACCATTTGGACAATTCAAGCCAATACGAAACAATCTCCCCCGAAGCCGTGCGATAATGGTTTCATTCGGACGGCTTATTCGAGTCACAGGGGCAAGGTCAGGGGCAGATCGTAAAGATCCCGAAATCACATTTTCATTTTCCCTTCATGGCATAGAACAAGCTGTAAGTGTCGATCTATTCAAGACAATCTCCGCAATTTTAATCGGTTACTTGTAGCACCACGGCAAGGTCATTAATAGCACTTAAAATAGCGATTTCCTGTCACTGAAAATGAGAACAAAAAGTACGAGCCAGTAAACTAAGTAAATTAAGGAGAAATGGAAAGTTTCGCCCAGTATGTCAGCGCAAAAAAGCGAAAGGTGGTCGCCCAAAAGAGCCTTCGCGAAAAAATCATTGACGATGAGATAAAAAGATTGACCGTAAAACGTTTTGCCAACAATGGAATGTTAAAGCCTTTAAATATGAGTGCAGAATATTAAAAGGGAAACCACTTAGAGAGGCGTTGTCTGAAACCTTTAAGGTTTGGGTTAAGGTTCGGCCATAATGAATGGACGGCCTAGGCGGAGATGTTTGATAATTTATACAAGATATTTGCATTTGCGTCTGCCAAGAGAGATCATCAAATTGAATTAACGCAGAGCTCGGCCAGCAAGCTTGTGTTTTTTTGTTTCAGTTTCGGTTTCTGTCTTAGCATCCGAGTGAGCAATTAATATCAATGTTTTTGAGACCAGATGACCCACTTTCGCGGGCAGAGGTGCTAACTAGATGGGCTTTACTGATCAGGGGATGTGGGATGCGAGATGTGGACGTCGAGGAAAGTAACTAAACATTTGCTGCCGATGATCAATGGACGGTCTATGCCAACACTGCCCCACGTGCATATTTATGCCTCATTATTTGTTTAGTTTGGATTTCTATTTGGCCACTTGATGCCGGGCAGCCACGACAAGTCGTAAAGCCGCCGCAACTCGCATTTCATACCCGAGATGAGAGAAAGCGCTTGTCGATCGCCTGTGACTAACTGCAAGTGTCGCTGGATGTCCCCCACTGACAATTCCAAATAAATTTCATATTTCATATTGCTCTCCGGCATGCCGCGCTATTTGCCTAGTTTTCCCTAGCTAATTGCTGGTTTCCCTTCTCAAATTTGTCGTCGTGCAGGCCATTTGCAGGCGCAATTAAAATAACTGCTCGCCCACACGGCGAATGCGTAATGCAAATTCGCGTGTAAAAGTCTTTGAAGTTCCATTATCAAGAAAGTTCCATTATCGGGGCAGCAGTGACAATCGATTGTGGCTTTTGAGTGGTAGAGTGGTATACCTGATTATGATGATAATGATGATAACGCTGACGGAGACGAGGAAGTGAGCACATCGGGTGTGCACTTTGATCCCAAGGAGATGGCCAAACATTGCCTTGCCATGCTGACACTATATTAGGCGGGCGGTTATAAAACCAGCTCCATTTTCCTTGAACCCACAAGCCAAAGTGTTGGACCGGACTCTGATCCGACCCGTAGCGGCTCTACACTGAGGAAAATGTATAAATGTAGGCTTTTGCACTTTATTAACAGTCTTAGGCCTTAAAATTTAAATGTACTTTGTAGCATTATACTCCGTTGTTAAGAATCTACATTAATTTTATTGGATGGATAAGATTGAGCTTATATATATTTACATTCTTTACCCTTTAGAATGTTTTATTCATTCAAATTAACTTATATAGGAGGTATTTTAATATGCTTTTACTGGGCCATAGTTCATAATTTTTGTCCAAGTGTATCATCTAAAACGATTACCAGAATTGGCAACATGTGCCACTCGCAGATAATGGCTTGCCATTAGCCGCCTTAGAATCGGTTTCAAATGCTGCTCCATGAATATGGATGGTCGACATGCCGAGTGGCGGCGAGTGGCGGGGGAATTTTGAAAGAATTCATTCGAAACACGTATTACATGTCCCACTTGACATGCTAACAATTTAATTTGAACCCAAGACGTGCAATTTGGCTCACCAGCTCGAATTGAAGTCTCCAACTTGGTTCAGGTCAATGGTGATGATCTCTTTATAACTTGGGTAACCCCAGCTAATGCGTAACCTATGGCACTTAAGGTGCTCAATTGTTTTGTGGGCTCCAATCATAAGGAAGTGCCATTTGTCGGTCCAAAATGGGTCTGCTCACGGCATAGTTAATCGATTATGGCCACGTTGAGATCGTTGTGAGAATGCTGGCGGCCTGGTTTTATTACTTGTATGTCTGCGGTTGGATTGGGCCATCTTCTCTGCTTCAATCTGGGTCATTCTGCGGTCACACCTTAAGTTGGCAGATGGAAGATAATAAAAACACACATACCTCGGATTCCACGCGCCGAATCGGATGTCTATGTGAGATATAATCAGTCGATCCGCACATCAATCAAGACATCCACCACTCAATGCGATTTGATGCGGAATAACGTTAAAACTTTGCGCCGATTTTTATTTGAAGACTTCATGCTTCAAAGTGATAAAACTTTTAGTAATTTATGCCAACTTCGAAAAGTGATATAATTCATGCCAGATTTAAAGCCACACCCTAACACAGCAATACTACTTTTAGTTATTAATCCAAAATTTGTTATGTTTTTGGTTGTGGTTTAATGTTGCATAGAGAAAACAACACAGAAGCTTTTCCGCCCTCTACCGTATCCCCTCAATCCCCAGAATACCTTACCAAACGATCTCAACACAATATTAATCCCTTGTTGTACTGTACTAATTAGTAACATTACTATTGTATTATACCAAAGAACTATCCTATTCTGTGTTTGCTTTTTCTATTCTTTATTTATAGGATTGGCTTGCGGGACGTGTGTTTTATCGTCCGATTTCGGTTTCATTCTCGATTGTAACTTCAAAAAGTCTGGACTGTTTCGTGTACGAAATTTGGGTGGCCTTAAGGCCCACTTCGGTTTAGGTAAATCTCTCAACTGTTCTGTCAACCCGTTCGCACCATCCCCACCATCCCCACCATTCTCCACCCTCATTTTCTCAGTGTACATACGGCCCTGAAATAGTTCAAGGTGTAGACGTAGAGTACGTAGTGTTTCCAAGGCTTTCAATCCTCCAATCTTCAAGTGCAGCTAATTGGTCAAGTAATCGAACTCGATCTGAACTCAAACGCACCGCGAATAGCGATTAAGTAAGTCATTATGCATTAATGCCAATGTCAGTGGTAGCACCACATATGTATATGAACTCAATTCTGTTAAAGTAGAGCGTTTCACAACAAGAAATCGGCTTGAGGATTGACCTGTAGCAGGTCAATTGGCAGAGGCGTGGAAAGGGGGAAGCTAGGATTAAAGTTTAATGGGACTTGTAAAATATATTTTGAGTAATTATTAAACGAAAAAATATTAATTTATATATCTTGTATTGAAACCAATTAAGTTCAGATCTTAATGATAGTTTAACGAGCATTAGCAGCTACGGCCTTCAACTTTATTATAGTTAATAAAGTAAATGATATAATATATTATATTTAGGATTGTTTGACCATTTAGTATTAAAAACAAGTACGCCACACGACTTTGTTACTCTATTTTGGTCAGATGTTTATTATTCTTTAGGTGAATCCTACTAGGCTCTGTGTACATAAAAGCCACATAGATGTAAGACTTTGGTAAGACCCATACAAGAGCCACGTGAAGGGTAAAACAAAAGCCATTAATTAACACATCATTGCCCAACCCTCGGCCACGATTGAAGTGATAGATGGGGCCGTCGTGGGCCCGACCTAACCCAAACCTTTGCTTCTTGTAGGTTTCAGTCTGGGCGACGAGCTGGGCTTTCCGGAATCGCTGGGCAACACGGAGAGTGACCGCCGGCGGGCTATTAGCTACAAAAACGGAGCACCTCCCGACTTGGTGGGCGTTCTTCCATCCACCCAGCAACAGGTGAGCTTAGACGGCCTTCTTGCATTTAAAGTTATCTCATTAGCTTACATCTCTACCAAAGGTCAATCCACCCGTGCAACACCCATTGCCAGAGAAGCGTATAAGTTCACGGTCCACCGGAACAGCGCCGTATAACCTGCAGCAGGTGCAACAGCAGCAGCAACTGCAACTCCAGCAGCAGAAACTGCAGCAACAGCAGTTGCAGCAGCAATTAAAGCTGAAGCAACTGCTGCATCTGCAGCAACAACAGCAACAGCTCATGACCGAGGCTCGTCCATTGCCATTGGGTGTTCCTGCCTTCCGACCCATTCCCCAGAAGCAACTGGCCGCCACTCAGCCCTCTGCTCCGGTTTCGACCCCTGCGGAGAGACGGGTAGCCGTGGACACCCCGGAGCCCCGGGTCAGTGTCAACAACAAGCTAATAACCTCCATCGATCAACCGGTAAGTTACTACAAGGAAAACTTTAGTTTATTCCCTGACGTTACCCCTAGAATCGCAATTAAATATTCTGATAACAATTGTTCACACCCATTCGGATAGCACTCGAATCGTACTTTTCACGTGGCCAATCCGGTGGTTTCCCAACCAGTAAGCGTGCCGGTGTTCCAGGCGATGCCCCAATCCATAGCCAGGATCGCCAATGTGGGCAAGGAGCACCGAACGGTGTCCAGTCACCCGAATTACCTTCAGTTCGAGGAGCCAAAGTTCGACCTGAAAGATGTTACAGTCGAGGAGCTGGCCGCCGCTGCCAACGTAACAGTGGACACCATCAAGCACGCCATTTACGTGCGGGAGCAGCAGCTGAAGGCCGAACACCGGGCGCAACTGGCGGCCAAACTAAGGGAGGAGTTTATGCGCACCTCCACTGTGAGGACTACGACCACGACGACCACAACGACAACCACTACACCGCGTCCATCAAAGTCGCTGGCGGAGCACAAGGTGTCCAAGGTGGGTATTGCGTTGAGAGCTGGTGACCTAGCGGCGTATACGTAATAATTTTCTAAAGGATATAATATTAATCATGTTTTACTACTTTCTATTAGGTAATGAACGCCCCTAAGGAGTACTATCCCGTGGGCTACGACAAGAACTTTGACGACAACTTCAAATCCAAGGTGGACCTGCCACCTACGAGCTTCTCTTGTGCTAAGCAAAAGCACTTTCCGGGTCTCTACGCTGACACCGATCTTGGCTGCATGGTAACCTACACGCAATCGATGCGTTTTAATGCCATAAATCGTATCCACTTGTTAATCACATTCTGTGTCAGGTATTCCACGTATGCGCACTGACCGACGACGGCATGGTGCGGAAGTCGTTCCTCTGCCCGGAGAACACACTCTTCGACCAGACGATCCTGAAGTGCAACTGGTGGTTCTACGTGGACTGCAGCTCTAGCACCAGCGTCTACGACTCTAACATTCCCATCTCAAAGAGCTATCAGCTGATGAAGTCGCTCACGTATTTCTCCAAGTTCGCTGGCGGCCAGAGGCACGAGCAGGATGGTGACAAGGATGAGAATGCGCTGGACATCGATTCGCTGCGGGAGTCAATGGAGGGCGTGGCCCGGCGCCAGGAACAGGCAAAGAAGGCGGAGCTGAGGGAGGAGGAGCAGCGCAGCCTGCCCAAGGAGGACCATGAGCACGTGGTGCCAGCAGAGGCAGAGCAGCAGCTATCCAACTAGGCTTCACTAGGCCCATCCCAACGCTATCTGAGATCTAGGTTAAGTGTTCACGATCGAGCGTCTCTGGTCGATTAGCCGTACGTAGTCAAGTCCTTTGCTGAAGTCAATGGTTTTCAAACTCATCACAGAGAAAATAACTATTCCCGAAATTGGCTAACCATTCGGATTATGTTCAGATTCAAGGACGCCTATTTGTGGCGCTTCAACATTTTATTACCACAGTCATAATAGTTTTCTCCATATCTATTCGAGGAAATGGAAAATAGATATGACCAAGATTATTTTGATCACAAAATAGAGGACATAGGGAACTGATATTATTATGACTTTTTCTCTGTTAAGTATCATCACTTCCTGCGGCAGCTCTTATACAGCAGAGCGCCACCTACGCATAGTCTCTTCCTAGCCCTTAGGTGGATAATCTCTAGTTAAGTCCCATCAGTGACTACATTTCGATTTGGGCACTTATTTTTAGTACGTTTTACTATTTATTTATTGTACAAGTATTTCCCAATAATTAAACGACGTTTGTTTAAACATGTTCAAAAACTTTGTTTTATATGATTAACGATACATTAAGAGTTATTTGATTCTTTTGAATATCAATACATATTTACATATAACGGAATTAAACATTTTAAGAATATACAAATTTTAATATTACTAATATTGCACAAGTATTAGTTTATCGTAGGTCCAAATACTATTGCAGAGTTCGTTATTGGTTCCTGTACCATTCCAACATTGAAGTAGCATCTGGAATATCTGGATTGATCTGCACATTCGTGTACCAGCTGGCGTTCAGTTTAATTGCATTATTGTGAGGCTGAGCACGCGCCCCTTTGACCACGATAACGTCATCTGGTCGACCTTCAAAGTTCTCAGCTTCCTTTTCCCACAGATTTAACATGACAGGCTGGTAATCAGGATCCACAAGTAATATTTCCCGAATAGAGTGACCTCCTCTGTGATCCAGATCGCGAACCTCCGTGCAGATTCCAATTGCGTCGACGGGCTCTTTGTCCGGTTTTGTAGAAACCTCTGATAACGGCAGAAAATTATACGTTTCTCGGGGAATCCGCTCACTAGCACTGAGTTCTACGACAGTATTCCAAAGAAGAAATACTGCAAAAGGATTCTTTGAAACTTTAAAGCAATTTTCCGCCTGTTGCACCTGAAACCTGGAGAAAATGTATACCAGGCCTGTTTGGATCTGGCCGTAAAATGCATTGATCAAGTTATTAAACACAACTCCTGTTATTTCACCAGACTCATCCAACAAATTCATAATAAAAATTATTCCATCTTTTCCAGCGTTATTCCATTGCGTTATCTCTGATTTCCACGTAACACGAGCTTTAATGGATGTCATATTGCATAGCGTTGGGAGCAAACTGCAAATGGGCTTGATACCGCCAAAAAATTAATTTAATTGATTTCAATGCAATAAATACTTACAATAATTGCGTTAGAGTTCATTTTACGTCGTGTAATGTTGGTATTTTAATCTTTATAGACTGTACTCTATGCGTTGATGTGAATGACTATTGCAGAGCTTCACAAAAGCTTTTTGAGCAATCGCATTGATACCTCTTAGAGTAAAAGGGTATTCCAGATTCGTTGTAAAGTATGCAATAGGTAGAAGGATGCGTTTCCGACCCTATACATTCTTGAGCAAGATCACTAGCCTAGTCGATCTATCCATGTTCGAACGTCTATCAATTCGTATGAACGTCGAGATCTCGGGAACTATAAAGCTAGAATATTAGTTAGGCACGCACAATCTAAATATTTTGGCCGCGCCAAAAGCTGTTGGGCCCACAATTTTTTATATTTATTTTCTTAAATTTGAGTTATTTACAATTTCTATCGATAAGCGAAACAAATTTTCTATTCGCACTCCCACTGGCGGTTATCTGGTATTGGGTATCTTATTGTCGACTAGCATTCTCTCTTGATTTAAAGCTCCAAGATCGAAAAACTTTATACATACGTATATTTTAAAGATCGCTCTGAAAAATGCGCTTCAAGTGAGCAGATAGCATATGCAAAATTGAAAATAAAAGAAACAATATTATCAAGACAAGACGGTTATTTTATATTATTTACATATACTCAACCAAAGATACTAGAAAAAAAAATCGTATGGCGTTATGCATCTAATTATTCTAGTGTCTTTGACTCAACTAATATTATATGTTTTCGAATTTGCTCTTTTTGCTTTTTGTTTGCTCTCAGTGAAAGACTTAGACATAATAATACAAATAAACGTACATTTCCTTCACGTTTTACGTTTATTACAATTAAGAGGAAGTCGTTAATACCAATCTACGATTTTAAATAGGGATATAATATGTATTTGAAGCGTAGCTGAATAACAACACATTCACAATATTTGGAAATAACGTATTTACTGTAATGCATAAATGTATAACCTATTCCTAGTTTATGGGAGAAGTGTTTATGTCGCGTTGCTCATGGCACTCAGTTTGATGGGCCAATACCGGTTAGCTCCTTCAGCTCCTTGAGCAAGTGCTTATTGTACTCCTTGTGATTGATAGGGGCTACAGACTGCACAGTAAGCTTGTTACGAGTCATGTCCCCGAAAACCTCGTTCTTGCAGCGCAGCTTAAAGATGTGCGAAGTGAAGTTGAGGGCGGAGAAAATCTGCTCGGCCTTGGCTGGGTCGTTTTCAAGGGCCTCTCCTACTTCCTGCGAAGTGTGCCCGAGAAGCTGTTCCCCGACCTCGTTAAAGCTACTGACCCAACGGTTGGAAGTCCAGTCGCCGATGCTCATCTAAAAAAATTGTAATGTTAGTTGAGAGTTGATATTTAAAGTAAGAAGGCGAAATACTTACGTTAATAAGCAGGCGGTACTTGAAGTTGGGAAACAGTGCGTTGCATTTCTCGCAGCGGAACTGGTCGTTGCCTTCATCGACGACCTTCTTGTTGCAGTCGCTCTGAGGGCAGGCTCGGTAGAAGGCATTCTCTTGTTTGACGATGTGCACCACTGCCTTGCACTGGAAGTAATCAGGCTTGTCGCCGCTGCCAAGGTTGCGAGCTCGCGCATCCTTAAGCGTCATCCATTCAGTAGAGAAGTTTCCTCCGCCCGTTCGCGCCGAAACCATATTGGCGACATTGTCACCACCTCCATTGTCAAACCAGCCGCGCAGCTTATGTGCCTCGGGGATATCGGGGTTAATCTTCATGATTGACCCACCACCTAGGCTCAAGGACTTACCGCCATTGAACTCATTAATGCGAGATCCCTTGACCAGGATCACAGGTTGCACATGACCGTCAAAGTTAACGGCCTCATCACCCCAGAGGGTTAAGCTGATGGCCGAGTTACTCATATCCACCAGGGTTATTTCGCGCTTCTTGAATTCCTTGTTTGTGGTTCGAGCTACAAAGGATTGCAGCTCGCCCACCTCCTTGCAAATTCCAATTGTGTCCACCGCTGCCTTGTTCTCCATCCCCGACACATCGGAAATAGGAATAAGGTTGTACTTAATTTCTGGAATAGGATCATCGTCGGTATCATCGCAAAGCTGGACAACCGTTTCACCCGAAAAGGTCATCTCGTAAGCGTTGTTCAGCGAAGAGTACTGTTTGTTGGCCGGTTTCAATTGGCACTTTGATATGTAGTACACGCTGTCCACCTGAATAAGGTCGAAGAACTTATCGCACTGTTCCTTAAAGGCAGTGGCCCGAATTTCGCCAGATTCGTCCATTAAATCCATGCTGAACAACTTGCCTTCGCCGCGGGCATTGCTCCAGGTGCGAATACCGGATTTTGAGGTCACGCGAGCCTTAATCACCCACTTGTTTTGGTAGGGACTCAGGCTGGAAATAGGATGCGTCATTCCACTATTAATAGAGGAATTCATTACTACGTTATTATTGTTGTTATGGCCCGGCTCCTTTTTGGCAACGGGCTTGGAATTTGAAGGTGCTGCCGCCTTAGGCGCCAGATCCTGCTTGGCTGCATTTTCATACGTGACGGGTTCGCCAATTTTGGACTTAACCTCGGCGCCTGGATTCACGACAGTCAATTCGGAAATGATGAGAACGCGTCTAAAAAGGAAGATTATGGTATTATCATGTCGGAAGCTTGTTTTACTGCATACTTACTTGCCGGCTCCATCCTTGCCCACCAATGAGGTCACATATTTATCCAGCTGGACAATGGTGAACTCTTCTAGTTCTCCATTGTGCTGCATCACGTTCAGCTGACTGGCCAGCATCGCATAGCTGTTAAAGTACTTGCCGTCGGAGATCAGAATGCGATAGCGCTCTGAGTCCGCGGCGCTGTTAATCTTCTTGATTGCCAGGATCTGGAGAACCGGGCCATCAACAACCTCGCCATGCATGATGCGCTGTGGCCGGTAGTTCGATATATTACTACACCAATCCATTAATTTTAAGCTGGCATACTTACAGCAATCACTCCTGTAGACAAAGATGCCAGTACCATTTTGATTATTAACAATAAATTCTGAAATTTCACAAACAAATATAATTTATGCGTCGAGGGCTGGGAACAAAGTGAAGCTAGAAGAGGCGGGAAGGGCTGCACCGTAATTTTGAATCAGTGGTAACGGAACTAGTTCAAGTTGGGTCCCATTCAGAGCTGCATTTCAGGGCAGTAACGATTTTATTGCTTAATAGAAAACGCAATAGAAAATTATATTATTTTTATGTTTGTTAACAATATATGGAGCATAAAAGTCAAGTATATTGAGCATCAATTGAAATATAGCTTTTAGCTTGAATAACGTTCTTTGTAATAATGCCTACATCTAGTTAAGCTTACAACTTTTCTATTAAAACGGTATTATACAAAATAATCTTATATTTTTGTTAAAAATACTTATCACTCTGTGATATTTAAATAACAGAAAGAAAATCGGTATTACTTACTTTCTTAATAGACAAATAAGTTTTTTTCCGCTCTTTTATAAAGTAAGCAGAAGACATTAGAATAACAGGATGTGTAACGCCATACGATTTTTATGCTCTAAATTAGTGCCGTCTTCAAATAAGTGGCTGCATAGTGCAAATACAATGTACGGCCGTTACGCATCATGTTATTCTAATGTCTTTGGCTGAAGCGTATGTACACGGTATGTACCAGCCCTTTACAGCATTGTGTATCGAAACTTAAATGCAGCCCTGAATTTGTTCGATTAGCAGACATTTTCCCGCGCATTTTCGCACGCGTCGTCACAACAAGATCACCAGTGCAAAACAAAACATAGTACAGATAAACGCTAAGCACAACAGACGCACGTTATGGACAATCCCAGTTCACCACCGCCAAATACGCCCAGCGATGCCGCCGAACGTCGCGAACTGCGGGCAGCGATGACGTCGCCGGTGGGCGACTTTGAGCCGTTCGAGAACGAGGACGAGATCTTGGGAGATCAGACCGTTCGCGATGAGGCCGAGGAGGAGGATGGCGAGGAGCTCTTCGGGGACAACATGGAGAACGACTACCGACCCATGCCTGAGCTGGATCACTACGATCCGGCGCTGCTGGATGACGAGGATGACTTCTCGGAGATGTCTCAGGGAGATCGCTTTGCAGCCGAGTCGGAAATGCGTCGACGCGACCGGGCCGCCGGCATCCATCGCGACGATCGTGATCTGGGTTTCGGTCAGTCCGATGATGAGGACGACGTGGGACCCCGGGCCAAAAGACGAGCTGGCGAGAAAGCAGCTGTTGGCGAGGTAGAGGACACCGAGATGGTGGAGTCTATCGAAAACCTGGAGGATACCAAGGGACACTCTACCAAAGAGTGGGTCAGTATGCTAGGACCACGCACGGAAATCGCCAATCGCTTTCAATCCTTCTTGAGAACATTTGTGGATGAAAGGGGCGCATACACCTATCGTGATCGGATACGGCGGATGTGCGAGCAGAACATGTCTTCGTTCGTCGTCTCCTACACGGATCTGGCCAACAAGGAACACGTGCTGGCGTACTTCCTGCCCGAGGCTCCCTTTCAAATGCTCGAGATTTTCGATAAAGTAGCCAAGGACATGGTGCTCTCTATTTTTCCCACCTACGAGCGGGTCACCACCGAGATTCACGTGCGGATCTCGGAGCTCCCGCTAATCGAGGAGCTGCGCACATTCAGAAAACTGCATCTTAACCAGTTAGTTCGCACTTTGGGCGTGGTAACTGCCACTACAGGTGTTCTTCCACAGCTATCCGTGATTAAGTACGACTGCGTTAAGTGCGGCTATGTGCTGGGTCCCTTTGTTCAGTCGCAAAATACGGAGATAAAACCCGGTTCTTGCCCAGAGTGCCAGAGCACTGGACCCTTCTCAATCAACATGGAGCAGACGTTGTATCGAAATTATCAGAAGATCACGTTGCAGGAGTCGCCAGGTAGGATTCCAGCTGGACGCATTCCTCGCAGCAAAGATGTTATTTTGCTCGCTGATTTGTGCGATCAATGCAAACCTGGAGATGAACTTGAGGTCACAGGTATATATACCAACAACTATGACGGTTCCTTGAACACAGACCAAGGATTCCCCGTTTT